CTCCGCATCCTCGCTCGGGGGGCCCAGCGCGGCTTAAAGATACAAAGTGTCCTTTTATTGGAAATATCAATTCAGAAAGGGGCTAGTAGTAAGCTGAGAATATTTGGATAAACTTGACAGCCCTTAGGACTGAAAAAGACCTTTTGTTCCCTCGGAGAAAAAGGCTGTGGCACCACCCGGGCTCCCTGGAGCCGGTCCAGAAAAAACGGAGGTCGGAGCAGAAAAGTGATTAGGGCGTCTCGTGAAAGATCTTTACTCCGGGTCAAATGTTTATTATTATTTATTTTATTTTTTTATTAGAACGTGTGGTTAACATCCTATTGCGTAATATCGGGCCGTAGCTGCGTGTGCGAGCGCCGAGCCCGCTGCCCCGGCTCCGGCGCACAAAGGGTGCTCTGTGGCTCGGGGGGCGCGCCCCAGTTGCTCTGCCTCCTTTTCAAGACGTCCCCCCTTTAAGGAAGGCGCATCTTCTCACCCTGCAGCCTGGGGGCCCGGCGGTCACGGGCAGGGGTCCCCTGTCCGTTTCCAATGACAGGAGGCTGTGCCTGTGGCTCACGTGCAGGCAGGTTGGGGGGTCCCCCTGGCAGAGAGGGTGCTCGAATGCACTGTCTGGGTGTCGGCTGATCCCCAAGCCCGACGCGCCGGTAGCCACATGGCTTTTGGGGGGACACTGGGACGCGATGGGGCTGCCAGCCCAGGACCCCCCTGAGTGTCTGTTGTCCAGGAATACGAGCAGCCCCAGGGTCCCCGATTTTATGCCACGTCTCAACATATTCGCTCCCCCAAGAGATTGGTTACCCCTAAGACTGCCATAAAAGGACAGGCCTCGGGAAGCCACAAGGTGCTGGGAATCTCAAACCTAATCCGAACCCTGTCCCACCAAACACATGAAAAGGAGACCCTCTCGCCTGTCGCTGGCGGGGATGCCGGGCCCATGGCAGGTGAGAGGGATGGGGCAAAGCTGGGCACATTTTTACTTGGAGTTGCCTCCCTCCCCCCGAATGAACTCGATTCACTGTCTGCAAGCGAGCTAAGCATCCCGGGACCTGAACTCGTGCGCATCCAGGCGTTTCTCCACCAGCCTCGGCAGACACCCGAGGACAGTGGCTTTCTCATTGGCTGTGGCCCCAGGGCCGCTCGGAGTCCTGGAGCCAGAGTCTCTGCAGAGTCACGTCCCTGCTGTGGCCAGGCCCTGACAGTGGCCGGGGGCAGAGCGAGCAGCCACCTGGGGGTGCGTCTCCACCACCACGGCCCCCTGCCCGGCCCAGACCTCGCTGTGTGGGGCTGGATCCAGCACCCGTGGGGAAGTCACCACACGGGACCACTCTGGCCAAGAGTCTCCAGGACAGAGACCCCAGCTCGGGAGCCACACCGAAGACCAGGCTTCCATCTGGGGGAAGCTTGGGGGGGGGG